TTTATTATATTGTTTTTCCCTTTCAGCAACCCTGAAACTGAGAACTGGATTGACCACATATTAGGTTTGTACTGGTGAAAAGAATAAGTGCAAACACTATTTGTTAGTGTTCTGTATTTTTTAGGCATGGTGTTGGTAGACGGACAATATGTATGGATGTGAAGGACCGCCATTGGTCGTTGGATTACTTATTATGTCTAGTTGTGGGGTGAGTCAGTTACGAGCGTGTGTGCGCGCCCAGCAGTTACTATGAATAGACATGGTGGGTGACATTGCGTACGGTTATGAGTACGAAGGGCCTACTTTGGCCATTGGGTTAGGCACTTGGGTATGGTTGAGGCCTCAAATTCAGCATTGCACATAAACACAGGCCTAACAGTTATGATAAACAGTCGAAGTAAGCGAAATTTCCGTTAGATTAGGTTTGTGTGCATTGTTGGAGCCTTGTATAAATCGGTTCGCACAAACGCTAGCCAGGTGTTTATTTTAAGTAGCAGAGTTAAACTGGAGCGCGTACAGTTACGAGTATGACGCGTTAGGTTGCCGCACAAAATCAATGCTTCATACTCAGCGCCGCACATGAACACGTGCCCAGCAAGTATGACAGGCAGCGAATTTAGACATGCTTTATTACGTATTTAAACTATGGTGAGTCATACTCGTAATAGAAATGATGTCATTGTGTTGGAAAATTATCTAGAATTACCTCCTGGCGCTGCATTGTCCACAGACTAGTTATGCACATCTGGGGATGAAAATCCTCCCCAGAGACGGCCCTTATATATCCATTGCACAATTCATGCTGTTTTCTGACAATGTTGTACCTCATGGGACCATGAGAAAAAGCGTTGTGATGAAGTTCGCAGAACGAAATCATTTCATTTGTTAAATCTGGGGAGTATAAAGCAAACAAAATTATGTTATCGGGTAGACTGGGGTCAGTGGGTAGGAAAATACAGCTTCAAAACTAACATTTGCAACGAAGATGCCGAGGAAGGGAACCTGAGTGCGAACTTCATAACCAAATATAAGGAAGGATTCAACGGAAGTAATAATGTTCTTCAAGAAACAAATTGATCACAGTCTCTTTACTCGACCCGCTTGCTTCCGATGGCACGGCGCGCTGAGGACAGGGTGGATTTTACAGCGGAAAAACCGACTAGCGAATAAAACAGCCAAAGGGACATAAAAACGGTGCACATGAAAGCAAAATCAAAGCACAACCTACTTCCTTGCTCTGTGTGCGCCCGGTTGGGGCAACCATAGTTGGCAAGATTGTTGTGTTTGATGAACATATGGCACGAGACCGCCAGGCTCTCCAACAAAGGGCAGGTACAAATACAATGCAGCCACATCATCATCATCGACAGCATGACATCAGTGTTCGACGCTGATGCTGCACTGCGGCCACACGTGGTCACATTGTAACAAGTACATCGTTAGGACTTCACGGCCGCTTCCTGCGTATACTGGAGGCATCAACGTCAATCCGTGAAGAAGTAACCGCTTAAAATGTTGCACTCACCAACTACCATATTTTGCAACGGTTTGCATTCTCGTAATAACCCATTTTAATGCATCGCATTTGGCAATAATCTAAGACTCAAGTAGAGCGCAGGCCTCATTCAGCGTGTCCACCGAGCGGATGCAAAGAGGGCTAGTGGCCTACAATATGCTGATTAGAGAACGCGTCTTTAGGTGTTTGAAATTGTTTCCACAGCCTAACGTCTCATTCGAGGGGATATAATGTTCACCTGTGCATTGTGTGAACGAGGTGTGACAGATAGATTTTTCACCATTGACCGGACTAATTCACATCGAAGACATGTTTAGATCTTGTGGCTCAGAACGCGCACTTTTACTAGGACGCAATTTTCCACACTTTGGGTAGTTGTTGCGTGGAATAGCCCCTACAACGGTTGTTCGAGCTGCAGGTAGGACCTAGTTAAATCAGCATTGAATGGTTGTTATGAGACATCGCTCTGGTAAGCATGCTACCAAGCGCTGAGAACTTAAAGAGTGCGCTACAAATCTTTCGGACGTGTGCCTTTACGATGAAGGGAAGCTACGAAGCGGCAAGAACAAACTCGGCCAATTGGTCTTAAGCGCGATCCTGTGCAACAATTTCTGAATTGTGATGAAATTTCAGAAACAATGTTATTCCTGGTACCATCCATTGTGAAACTGCCCTAAAATTGTCTTCCCAATGGCAAGTGAGAGTTTTAAAGCTCAGTCTCACTTGGGGTGTTGGTCTTTACATGGCGCTGTCTGTTTGTCCTTGTCACGCCGTGGCGCTTGAGCCAATCATTTGCTTCGGTTTGGCTTGTGGGTACACAGACTCTCCTCACCCACCCTCGAGCACGTGGTGGCCGATGTAGGGAACATGCGACCGAAGAGTCTGCAATAGTTAGCGAGACCCATTTCTGGGGTGTGATGAGTGCGTATAGTTGCGCGTGCAATCTCAGACGTTTATTGAGTGTTTGAGTTAAGCTAACTCTGCAAATACTGGAATAATCTCTAGTTGCTACCACGTCAGTTTAATGTCGTCCATCCATGTGCTACTTTTCCAGTAGGGAAATCGTGACTTGGTATGAGGCGAGGGCCTTTGATTACTGTCACGTTATGTAGTCCTGTTATTGTTTTCTGAGCTGGGCTGACAATATTGTTTCTGATGGTCTCTGTTGTGTGGCCCGTGGCAGTTACAACCACTGTACAGTAAATTCATGGTTTCTACAACTGGTGACTATGGCCTAGGACTAGCCAATCTCCCAAATAAGTGGCTAAGCGCAAAAATATGGGGACTACATTTACCTACATGGCGGTGGTCATCTGTTTACGCGGAAATCAGTATACTGTTGAGAGAACGCAGGAAGAGATCTGCTTGAGGTTGGATGGTAATAGAACTTAGGCTGCCTTAGGTACAAACATACGTCGGCTGCCGGAATGGGGCACGCAAGTAGCCTTTCAGCTAGGGGCGATATCAAGCGGATACCAGGATGCTCACCGATAATATAGCAGGCTAAGTGCACCGACTGCAGTGGTGTCAAACGCAGTTAGATGGTCGTGAACAGAAACAGGACGAGAAATTTGAATACGTTGGCGCCAGTGTTGGAGGCTTCGATTAACAGATTTTCAAATCGTAAGGACTCAGGATTTTCAAACTTAGCAACCTTGTGAGTAATTTCCTTTATGAAAATGTACTGCGATATCTCGAATATTGTGCCAACTGAAACATAAGGCGGCCTATGTGCAGCACATTCAGTAGAATATCATAACCGAGAGATTCGACTGAGTCCTTCATGAAAACCAAGTAGATTTGCAAATGAGTGTATTCCTCGAAATCCAACTTGACTTTTACGCATTTGCTTCTCTCTGTGTTCACTCTGCTGCTGTTATGGATTCCCTAGCATCATACGAGATTAGCGATCTCGATGTGGTCACTGGATTTTATCAGAGAAGTCTGATAGTCTTGAACGCCACCAGCATAGTCCCTTTCTCATTCTGCCGTGTTTCGTTACGAGCACTGCGTTGACTCATTGCAGAGAGTAGTTGAGGTAGTTAGGATTTGTACTTTTGAGCTACGGTGGTTCTCCGAAGATGACGGGCTCTTGGTAACTTGCGAATTGACAGACGTACTCACTCGGAATCAAGTTGTGTGTCAGAAGTAGTGACAGTCTTTACTCATGGATTTACATCTGTGTCTTGTAGGTACGCAATCCGGTCGGGTCCATGATTGATTTGTACTTGGCGGTTGCCAGGTATGAGCGTCTGCGTTGGGAATTCGTCCTAGTTAGAAACACTCATTAGTCAGTGCACAACTGGAGGAGTCGCTCTTCATTGTCTGTGCAGCATCGTCTCCTGGTCGAACATCCAGATTGAATTTCAAAGAGCTCATACGATCGACTTGAGCATTCATATCACGTGCAAGGATAACGAGTCATAGCTTCATATCCGACAAACCAGTCGACGTAAATATCTATCGACATAAATATCGACCGTCCGAACTGCCGCAGTAAAGCAGATACATTGGCGCATAATTACTCTGATCACCGAACTGGATTGCACAAGAACGTTACTTCTCTCATAGTTATTGTGCGTTCACATTTCGACCACCGAAATCTGACACTATGGGAGTATCCGCCACACATTTACACAGAAGTGGAAAATCCACCGTAGTAATTTCAATGTTTCCATGGCCGTTTATAATCTGAAATATTTAAAACCGCATTTGTAGGATGCAAATTATGCCTATCCTTGAGGGAATCTTGCCAGTCATTGGGTTTGGAGACAGATTGATTCAACGTCGAACAGTTCCGAAGTTTACCATATCTTGCACGACTGCTTAGTCATCTGGGCGTCGTACTTTCGTGGTTCAATCTTGGTACATTGACAGGACACTTTGAATAACAGATAAACCATCGTACTACTGCTGTTACAACTAACAGAAGCTGTGATACGATTGCCTGGTCTGTCAATAATCGAAGGAATACACGAAATCGTTAGCTCTCTAAAGACCGTCACTGAGAGACTGGTCCCCATCGCGATGTGACTGTTTGTTCGCATCCGTAATCCATTGAGCTATACTGGGGAGTGCACGTGTAACACTGCCAGTCACTCATACCAGGCCAGTTAGCGGGTGAAGGCCTGAATAACAGTCTCCGGGTGCTCCAGGTTGGAGGTTGGGACATGTGTGGCAACTCGCGTTTTAAAAATGTAGGCATGTGTGGCAACTCGCGTTTTAAAAATGTTCTGTTCTGTTCTGACGGTCTTAAGTCAACTACCGGTGCTCTGCGATGAGGCTTTCAGGCCAAAGGCTCTTGTATGGGCCTGGGAGTTCTAGAAGTACCCCAGGCCGCGTGCAACTATAAATTGTATACCTACATGTAATCTCATGCCACACTGGCCGTCGTGTAGAGCCCNGCCACACTGGCTGTCGTGTAGAGCCCTCAGCCTGATTGTCTTACTGCATACAGTAAGGCGGGTAAATCAAAGCACTAATAATGACGCCTGCCTTCGTTGTAACGTATTCGTCTTTCTCACTCCGCCGCTAACGACATCTGCATAGACCTATCCTCAAGATTTGACAAATTTGTTCGCCGCCCATTTCCCTCAACTGCGGTATCTGTGGATGACCCGGCCGCAACAGCTGTAGACACTTCGAAATCATTCTTGAAACCCTGACGCTCAGTTTATCTTCCAGCCTTTAACGTTCGCATTCTGAAACAAGCTGGATAAGAGAATGAGCTTTCATGCACACTGATCCCGTTTTCTTTTGATGTAGGCTTTCTCTGAAACTAGAGTTCAAGACCCAACTACGTCTTTTGAACTTATCCTACTGTCAGTTTCTACTCACTTCTAGTTGCATATTCAGCCATTGCTACTCGTTCTGCTGGGTTGTGCATTGTTCTAAGCCACCGGGCTGAAGGGTCTCCGTGTGATTAGTTGCTGTTGACAGTCGCTTCATTTGGCAACGTGTGTGAGAGTATCCCATAAATGCACCTATAATCGCTGCCCGTTCATCGCATCTGCTTGCACCACAGCATACTCTGATACTCTCAAAGTCAGACGCTACAACTTTGAGCGCCTTAGTGCGGCAGGCTAATAGCTCAGTTATTGTTGTGGTTGCCCGGGGTGTCGTTATTTATCTGTGAGGCCTTTTATGTGTATAGTTGCCATTGTTCCTGAAGGAAGCACGGCAGCTAGGCACTGAAAGGGTGTTACAGCTGAACGATATGCCCAAGTCTAGGCAAGAACAGTCGAGATGATGGGGACCTTGCGGTCAGTAAGTTCGCACCTCAACCGCTGAGACATCTTGGCCGGGGAAATGAATGTGGAGGCTCAGTTAGGCGGTCGTTTTGTGTTGGGATCGAGACACACGGACAAAGGCGGACGCCCGCTGCACTTGTACTGACCGCAGGTAATTTATTTGCAGTACTAACTTCCAAAACAACCGAAGCCAGATATCTCTGTCCCCCCTCAGTTTTGTCCATCGGTGGCATATTCAAGCAAACATTGACCCTGGCAACTGGAGTACAGCTTCTTCCTGGTTGCAGGGTATCCAGCATGGTTACGCGGGAGATGTAGCCTTGTTGGGAGATGCTCTTTGGGCGGTGCAATTGATTCCTGAGTTAAGTATCTGCCCAGGCACTTTTCACCTCTACGTTCACCGTCCACATGTTAAATACTTCTACAAACACCACGGTCACCCTGTCATTGATTTTTGCCGGTGAACAATTACAGTCCGTGTTCTGCCTTACTTATATCTCGAGGCAAATATAGTCCACGGAGGATAGTGGATAGGAAGGGAACCTGTATCTCAGGCTGGACGCTTTTTCCTCAACTTCTGAAGTTTTCGATAAACGCACCTGGTCAGTCCCTTCTTCAACTGTCGGGCGCACTGTGCATCAGTCAAGACAGCTCATGTAGTTTGGAACTTAGACTGTGTAGTTCATCGACGTACTAATACGGCATGTGGGCCAATCTTTCTTTTGTTGGATTATATTTCACTACAAGTGGTATCGCTTGACCAGTATACCAGCGTTTATTCACCAAGGAATTTATGTTGAACACCCACCGTGGATAATTTTCTCCATGTTATGATCCTTATCCTAAATCTGAGAAAGATCAGACAGGTTGAACGGAAATACGTCAGAGAATGCCAAGAAACAGGAGATCGAGTTTAGGTTGACGACTAGGTCGCAAAGTGCCGGTTTCAGTTTTTGAGATTTCGCGCGAAAAGGAATTTAGGTGATGCTCCTACCTATTATACATTGTAGACAGGATAAAATCGAAAGAATAGTGTTCAATATAAACATAACAGGTTTCTTCGAAGCCCAATTATTCGACCTAGGGACCATTCAGCTGCCACTTCATCGACCCCTTCAGAATAAGGCCACTTCCTAGAGAAATCCATTTTGCTCACGTCTCACAGTTGGTTCCTATTGGGGGACACTATACCTAAAACATAAATGGACATAAATGGTACAGACGTGGCTCCAGATCCTGTACTCAAAAAAGTACTGTCAGCACTGCTGCGATGGGAATCCATGCAAGTTGTTTCTAAAACTGGTCTCAATTCGGATTACCTGACAAGGTTTTTCGCACACCACCAGGCGTCGAAGTAACATTTGAACATTTATCAGCGCAACTACTAGCTTTTATTGTGTCTTACGGTCTGTGCAAGACATTCTTTCTGATCTATCTATTCGACTTTTGAAGGTTACTATCGCTTTCTGATTTGACCACTCTCTGGACGCCGTGGAAAACATTACAAAGCTTGCTCACTTGGACGGGGTTTAAGGATCAGTTTAACCGTTGAATTGTTCGGCTAATGGGAGCTCGATCGGTGGAATTTTCGGAGACACCAACTTCTGATGGTGAGGCCAGAGACACTGAAACTTACGGGATGGCGACCCTTCGTGTATGGCGGCGCTGCTGCGATCTTTGCTGAAACCTGTATGTTGTGCACAATTATCCATTTTCTATCACCCAGGTACCTTTCCGATCGACACTTCGAAGACTAGATTGCAGATTCAAGGAGAAATGATCAGTGGCTCGGCCGCGAAATTCGTTGGTGGTCCATACCGAGGCATGTTGCACTGTATAATTACGGTGGGACAGATTGAAGGTGTGCGCTCTCTTTATCAAGGGTGAGTTCAAATAAGGTTGGGTTCCATTTTGCTTAGTCTGACTGCTGCCGTTCTCCGTCAAATGATATACGGAACAATTAAATTTGGATTGTACAATAATATGAAGCGGATGTTCGTTGCAAACCCCTTGGGTACACTCTGTTTTGATCATACGAATTACAGATGAATCTCTGTTCGTAAATATATGTCTAGCCATGTTCAGTGGTGGACTTTCAAACGCTATTGCTAATCCGGCTGACATGCTCAAGGTGAGGCGCTAATTTCTCCACTTTCAGGTGGATTAGGTTGGTTTAACCCTTGATCCCGAGGAGCTTTTGACGACGATTCAGTTCATATTTAAGGAATGACTTATTGGATAGCATCTTTCCGTAAATAAAAGGTGACACCTTACCAAAAGCGAAACGTTGCCCAGCAATAAATCTACCGATTGTCACCAAACTTTTTCGAAAAACCTTATCAACTTCTTTAAAGCGCCAACAACAAACTCCTATGTAAGACGCACTATGAACAAATGCTGAACTGTGCGAATATCCACATGGCTCCCAACACTGTATAACCAACGGGGCTGGCTCGACTGTCATAAAACCTAGATCTTTGTAGAGGGATAAACTAGTACTGAAACAGTAACTGCTACCTTACCGGTGATCAACGACCACAGACTTTCAGAAAAGCATGATGAGTTAGAGCATCGTGTTTGATTCAATATAAATGTTTTGGGAGTACCTGAACTCGATTAGAATGTCTCTTGTCAGATTCGAAATTGACATTCTTGGGAACAAGCTGCACCGGCCCAATCGCTTTTGAAATGTGGCTAAAGCTGCGCTGATATGCTTGCCTACCTAGCATGGCACATCCTATGCCTCTCACTACACATGACAGCTTTAGGTGACATTTTCACCAGCAGTAACAACAACATCATCATCATCATCATCATTGTCAGTTGTAATAACCGCGTACTCGTCGTACAGTGGTTGCAGCTGCCGCAGTTTCGTTCACCGATGATTTGGGGGAGGGGGTAGGTAGCTGCGCATTGCAAGCGCGAGCTGGTAAGTTGGTGCATAAATCCAGCACTGTCAGTAGGCTGTCACGTGGGGGTGGTGGTGGAAAAGGAGCTATGCATTGAAGGCAATAGCTTTGATGCACGAGCGCCATTGAGGGCGCGACTGGGCCATGTCTGACAATGTCTGCAGCCATTGATGTGGCCCGTCACGGGGTCCCCATCCAGGAAGACGGCAATTACCAGCGCAGCTGAGTTTGCTGGTAATGGCTTTCACACTTCGCTGCCAAGTCATTGTTTGACCGCCTCTGGCTCTCTTCCACCCTTCACGTGGTTG